CTAACGACTAAGCTCCCTCTTAGCCACGCAGTCATCGACATATGCTGTTTCACCTTGACTTGGGACGCCCGTCGTCAGCTGACGTATAGACACAGGGCTGAAACTCACAAAGTAAGAGGCTCGCCGCGAAACATGACCACGACACGAACGTAACTTTGATCGTTTCAATCACTCCTTTATCCTCTGCCATTACCGGGGCCCATCACTAGGAGGTGACAGTGCGGTTTTGGGCCCCTGTAAAAATTATTTATATCTTAAATATTGGAGCGGCCTGGTTCCCAAAACTTTTGTGTAATTTCTGGTATATTTTTATTTATCGGTTAAGAATATTTATACTCGTAGATATGCACTAATAGATTTACCTACTTAGTTTTGTTAAAGATGAATGAAAAATATTACGGTAATTATACTATAATCTTTTTGTGTTTATCTACTTACCAACACTTTCACTAAAATTTATTAACTACCTCATTTTTATTAAAAGAGAATGAGCTTTGAAATTAGTTTGAGAATTTACAGTTTTATAATTTGGTAACATGCATTGGTTAAAAGCAAAGGCGATTTCTGCATGTGCATAAGATATTGGAATAATTTTTTAAGTATTGTCAGATAATATTTGTTTTTTTATATTTAATATTTAGTAGTTTATTTTATTTTAATAATAGTTTGAAGTAATTTTGCGAGAAGGACCTCTTTTTTTAACAGAAAAAATCAAACATTTGTATTTAGTAATTTATAACTTGCAAGTTCAAATCAAAGGGACTTTTATCTTTTAGAAGTTTTATTGATATATAAATAAAAAATTTTTTTGCACATTACTTTTATTTTTTTTTAATTTGTTTGTATGCAAATATTTTTTATGTATATGTACCAGAATAGCACGGAAAAAAATTTTTCAGTGATCTACGTTCCATGAATATGTATGTGTAGGTGGAGAAAGTGGATCAAAATGACATCTACGTGTCTATGAAACTAAATGAAATAGCGAAAAACTGATTACATATAATGAAAGATCATTCTCGAAAGCCTATGAAAGTGGTCTTAAGCCAAAAATCGTGAAAGGGACGTTTGGATCAAAATAGCACTCAGCCAACGATATTCAATTAAATTAAAGTTGCGACAAATCAATGGTTTCTCTTCAAAACAAAATGACAAATAATTAAATATCGAAAAAAACCTATATACTATTTATAATAAAATTTTATTATGTATGTTTGTGTATCACGCTTTTTCAATATAAAGATCTAATTTAAAGATAAAATTATGAGGTTCCTCAAACGAAGCAGCCGAAAATGTAAGACGCTTTTGAATCTTTTTTTTTAAATATTTTTTGTCAGTTGTCTTATATATAATAATTAAATTGTAGCCAAATTTTTCGCTTGATGCCTCGGCATCTTTATGATCATCTTAAAGCGTTTCTGATTGTAACTGTCCAAAAAACCCTTTACATGCCGACGCTCTGTGCGAAAAAACTCCAGTCTTTTCTCCTCACCTCCACAAGCAGGACTAGCTCCAGGCTCAGCAGCATATGTGCTTCCTCGTTTCCACTACATACATCATGATACATCAAGATTTTCTATCACATGGTATAAAAAGACCCGGTTATCCTGACCAAACCGTTCGAGGCTGCTGATCACACTTTTTATAGCACCCAAAAGATATCTGCGTACATATCCTTAGATTCGAAGTATTTGCTCCTTGGCCCAAATGCTCCGGGACTCATATCGAAAACCATTTTGGACTCGTCGAGGACATTTTCAAGTCATCGAAGACATTTACCTGATGGTGTGACTTACCATCGGGTAGCTAACCGAGTCCACCCTCAAAGTGTTTTTATTGTCATAGCTAGCGCGGTATACTATAGTTAAACTTTAGAAAAACAACATGGCCGTTCAAATTTACCGTTATCTAAAGTCCTTTTTTTCTAAATTTTTGCTTTCGTTTTTCTTCTAAATCCCAGCATGTAGAAGCTTGAAATTGGGCTTTTAGACATTAACAGATAGTTCATTTCGTTGGAAGAAAATTTTTTTCCATCTCCTTCCCCTCTCAAGTTATTGCCTCTTGAAATTTGTAAAATTTGAATTTTTGACACCTTATATTTCCGAAACCACAAGCTTTTTCAAATTTCTATAAACACAAAAAGCTAACGGTAAATTCCATAACATTAAAAACTCACACAATTAAACCTTAAAATCGAGCACTATGTTAACCCCTCTTTATATTAATTTTTGCTTTATTTCAAAGACTGCATGTATGCATGTATCATCCTAAATATATGCAATCCTAGAAAGAGTTTTGTGTATGAATGAAAATAATTTTTAGAATGTGTGATAGGTATACATAGACTGTATTTAAAAGCAGTATTTTCACTTGCTGAAGGGAAAAGTGCTACAATACAAACCATTGGTTTGACCCAACTTTATTTTAATAGTGTATTGGATATATACAGATTGTATTTAAAAGCAGTGTTTTCACTTGTTGAAGGGAAAAGTGCTACAATACAAACCATTGGTTTGACCCAACTTTATAAAACCTTGAACCCTATCGTAAGATGGTTATCCTTGCTTTACTCTCAAAGACCAAGTGCTGCAGAGACAAATAGAGGATCATCTTCATCGCCGTCGTTGGGCAGCTTCAGATGGCACTTGTAATGCGTTTCAAGTTCTTGTCATGTACAAGCAGCCCTGTGGAAAGTCTGTCCGCAACAGCACTCCAATTTTCGACTAGTTTTATTGATTAAATGTCTCACACTACTGCTCTTTCGCCTAGCAGTATCCTTCGAGATTTTCATCCTCCGCACGGCAAAAAAAAATATTAGCAGTTGTGATTGACTGATGATTAAATAAGATGAATTTCTAGTGCTAATATTTCGCTTTCTTCCTAAAAGCCTTATTCGAAGTTCAAAGTTCTCTAAAATTTTTTTTCAAAAAAATTTCAAAAAAAATAATTTTAATTTCAAAAAATAATTTTTTGTTTTCAACGAAAGTTTTAAGGTAACACCTAAAATATCTTTTTTATATCCAACGTTTATTAATATATTATCTTTTAAACTTTTAATTAAGCTATCTAAATAATAGACAGCTAACTTTATTTCATTATCAACATATTTTTTGTTTGCCGTTTCATTAGATTTTATAGTTTCTTAAAATTTTATAAATTACTTGTTTTGAATATGATAATAACCACCAGGAGTTAATTTGAAGAAAAAAAAATTAGACGGTCCTTGATTTCTATGTTTGATTGCATATTGAGCAGCTTCACAATGTCCAAACCTATCGACAGCCATTTTACCAATGTTGATGTTTTTCAAATTCATTTGAATACTCGTACTAACTTCTCTTCACTTTTCAATAATGGAGTTGATTTCATTTTGATGATTGTTTGTTCTGGCTACTTGTCATTAAAAGTCTCAACCTGTCAACTCAACACTTGGATCTAATAAGTATATTGATTGACTTGGATCTGATGAGTAAATTATCAGATTAGTTGTAAGTTTGACTATATATTTTCCTACTTTTTTATTTCCTCTTGTACTAACTATATTCTTGATTGTAGAATTTTCTTATTATATTTTTATATTTAAAATCATTATTTCTTCTAATTTGATCTAATGAATCCTATTTTCCACGATGTGCATTAGTTTATTCTAAAATTTTTCATATTCTTTTAAATCAATTTCGGTGTAGTTTTCCGGTTTCTTCTTAAATATTAGTTCATGCCATCCCTCAGTTCCTTGAAAAATCTATTATTGACATATTAGTCAATACTAAACACGGAATTACGAATTTCCGTGTGTTAAAATAATGATCAAAATATGATCCGCAATTCTTATCAAGTTTTGACTTATTGTTACCAGGGCTCGTTGAGGGTGGTAGTTTTGAAATTGATGTAATATCCCAAAATTTACCAATATTTGAAGGTGTATATTTAGAGCTACTGGTGTTTGGGTATAATGACATAAGACTTTCAAAATTTGAATTTTCATGTTCAGTTGTGTTCGCTTCTTGCTTGAAACTAATGTCTTCATTAAATCAACTTAAATTTTTTGTACGTGTTTAACCTGCTAATGGCTTACGATTCTGCGCAACAAATTCTCATATTGCCAGTTTCCCCATTGCCTCCGAGTGCTTCGGAATTGAAATTAATTTTATGTGATTTTGATTAGCGTTATTGTCAATTTTCAGTTGACAACTTAGTGTTGGTTATACATATTTCACACATCAATTATTTTCGTTTTTTAAATTTGTCGTCCTACATTGGAAAGCTACTCTCTATTTTCTCTCCTTTTAGATTTTTGGCTTATAATCCAAATATTTAAGAAAATTATCTCATTTGAAATTTTGACTTTTAGTTAACCAAAGTGATTTGTCAATATTATGAGTTTTACTAACACAACATCATAGTTGTGAAAATAATAAGTATGTGCTTATTACACTAATAATTTAACTTAATGGAAATGATTTGTCAAATTGTATTGTAAAAACTTTTATTAGGAAAGAATGCACAACCTATTTTAAATTACCTTTAAAACTATTGTACAATACTGCCTTCAGCAGTACTTTAATCACAATAAAGAAAAGTTCAAATTTTTGTAAAAAAAGTGTGTTTTAATATAACACAAAAAAAGAAATATATATCAACAAAAATTTCAAATCAACAAAATTTTTTAATATTTTATATATTAAAAATATTTAATATTTTTAATATTTTATATTATTTAATTAAAAAAATTAAACAAAATTATAAAATAAGTTGAGAATGAAAATCAAACAAGAAGAGTAAAAATTATGCCGTTTTCTGGATATAAATTTAAAAACTTATGAAAAGAGCTTTTTGTTAAAAAAAATGAAAATTTCATAACATAAAGAAGTTATTTAAATACTGCCTTCACTTTTTCTCAATTCCTGTTGAATATTATAGATATTGATTTTTACAGTTCAACGAGTCAATTTTCAACTAAATAATCGAAGTAATAACTTATAGTTTAAAGTTTTTTTTAGGTCTGTGAGTTGGACATCATTTTCAATTTTGAGAAAGCATATTTTATCTTGGACGAACTTTTGATAGGAGGCGAAATGCAAGAAACCTCAAAGAAAAATGTGCTGAAGGCTATTGCGTCACAAGATTTACTACAAGAGGTCAGTACACCGGAAAAGTGTGATTGTTGAAAAGTAACATTGTACCAAGTTTTACATATACATTTATATACGGCTAATCTATAAACGGTTAATTTCAAAGTTAATTTATAACATACATATTTTTATTAATAATTTTCATTTTTGCATATTATGATGCGGAGTATACATACATGTTGTTCTTTCATAACGTATTAAAAGTTAAAAAAAAATGATGCATTGATTGTTTGTTTTACGAAAATATGAAGGCAAAACAAGTAATTGTAGAAAATAGCTACTTGTCTTTCTTCCACAAACTATAACAGGAATTTCATATTTCCAAAAATTAAAAATACGATAACTTGAGAAACTAATTTAATCAATGATAATTACTTTACTAGAAGTGTTTAATCTTAACTCAGTAATCTTTTTAAAAAATATAAAGCTTTGTCTTATGAACGTATTTTTGTACCCGTACGAACGTATGTTCGAAGGGTATACTAAATTTGCTTTACCGTTTGTAACGCTAAGAAGTAATGGTCTGAGATATAGACTCAAGTGTATGTTTTTGATCAGCGTCGAATTCTGAGTTTATTTAGCTTTGTCTGTCCGTCCGTCCGTCCCAACGATAACTCAAAAACTAATTGAGCTAAGTTCACCAACTGATTTATTATAGTAAATGCCAGAGCCCTATTTAAATTGGATATGATCGGGGTACTGGTTCGGGTAGCTGCCATACAACTTCAAAATTTATTTGGCTATATCTCAGAAACTATAAAAACTGTGGTATTGAAATTTCACACAAATGAATATGTATATTATTAGGGCCAATGCTTTGATAAAAGTCGTTATAATCGCGCTACTCCTTCAAAAGTTATTTATAAAGGCTATTATCTTTGAAGTTGTAAAAGCTGTGGTATTGAAATTTTACACGAAAAATATATTAGTAAGGATAATGTGTTTGATAAAAGTCGTAAAAACTTAAAAAGTTATTAAGCAAAGTCAAATAACTTAAAAAGTTATTTGGCTATATCTCAGAAACTATAAAAGCTGTGATATTAAACTTTCGCACAAGTAAATATACATGTAAGTAGGGTCGATGTGTTTGATAAAAGTTTTTTAAATTGCTTGGCTCCTTCTGGTAGCTGCCATACAACCTCAAAATAGTTGGGCCATATCTTTGATAATATAACCATATATATAACCATATCTTTGAAACACAGTACTGAAATTTTGCATAAATTAATATGTTAATACGATAACTTAAGGTAATAGTCTGTCCCATAATCAGCTATGGCAAATTTATTAGTACGGGTGTCACAGAGTTGATACGGTCAACTTTATTTTTTATCGTTTTGTTAAAAATTATTTATCTTTTTGCCAAAATGTATTGATTTTAACACATGTATGTATAGGTATATGAAAATATCAAAAGATAAATCTATTATGTGTTTAACAAGACATTTTAAAATTTGTCTAGAAATTTAATATATGTATTTCAATAACAACTTTTCTGACACCCGTTCCTTTATTTGATTTGTTTAAAAGTGAGCCAGCTTTTCAGATGGAATTCGTAAAAGAAGGAATAGGAAGAAGGGGAGGAAGGGAAGGGGGTTATTGTAGATTCACTCGTTTTCGACCTACAGCCTGTTGAAAAAATCTGTATTTTCAATAAACTTTGCTACACTTTCGAAAATCATAACTTACTTAAGATTCTAAAACATTTTGTAATATAAAAAATTTGTGTAACAAAAATATTTTAAGTTTAGTAAAAATCTAAAACAGTAAATTAGTTAATTCCTGTAGATCTGTAAAGATGCAAAAAAAGTTTTAAAGACATAAGTTAGTGCATATCCCGAAAATCCTCAAAATTGAATTCGATATCAAAAACTGCACACATAAACATATAAACAAACTTTGTACAGTGCGAAAACAAGAGTCTTATACTAATCATAAAATTTTTTTTGGAATTGCACTTATCAAAACAAATTTTTCTAGTCTTCAGCTCCTTTTCAAGAAGATTTTCAACGAAGAAATTATTCAAATGTGTATATTTTTTTTAGGATGAAACTCCCCAAGGATTTTTTGAAGATCATGGGCTCGGATAAAACATTTGCGCATTATTTAATTTAAAAAAGAAAACATAAAATTATTTTAATGATTCAGTATGAATATAAATAAAATTGATGCAAAAAAATAATTGTTTAATTACTATGTAGCATATATTATATAATGTATGTATATTTTGATTATTTTATATCTGCAAGACTCAATTCCCAATTTTTTTTACGAAGTAAAATTCCATTGATTGTGTCATATTTCTTATTATTTTTTTTTTTTGTTCAGTAAAAAAGACTTTTAATTTATAAAAGTATTTATGAAAATTTCGATGAGTATATTAAGAATATTTTAAAAATCCCATGATATTATTCACATTTTGTAAAAAGCTCCCCATTTAAATGCTGTTAAATTTTTTCGTTCGAAAGCATTTAAATGGGAAGAAAGAAAAGTAGAAAAACTTTTCATAAATTTAATTATCTTTTTAAAAATTAATAAGAAACAGTGCTACAAAATAGATTAAACCAAATATCTTAAATTTTTTTAAATTAAATTTTCATTTTGAAAATTTGATAAAAAAGCGTCTTCATGAACCTTCGATATCTTCAATTAAAGTTTAGTTGAAAAAATTTAAAGTTAAATTAACAAGATTTCATTTCGAACCAAATGATACATCAAAAAGAAAAACTAATGACTGGCACAATAATAAATGGAAACTTCAGTAGCATTAAAAAACCTTAATTTTATTTGTAATTTGATATTTTTGTACGTAAAATTTATAAATTTTAAAAATCACATTTTGAAGTTTCTCACAAAATATATGACCAAAAAACCTTCACTTGGAACATAATTCTTCACTTTTGCCGGCGCTGATGAGAGCGAATGCGTGACATTTTCATGTTCATGTTATATTTTTAAATAAGGTTACTCAACTTATTTTGTTTTGGCTAATACGGAAGGTAATGAGAGTAATATAATGTAGTTTATTTCAACAATTTAAATTAATGTATCATTTAAGTTACTTAAAGGAATTATTTTAAATACATAATTTTAATTAGTTTTAAAGTTAAACTTAACGACAGAATCGTACCTGCGTGACGACGTGATACTGCGCAATCCCAAAAATGCTGACTTATCAATGGAAATTTTCTTATAGAAACTCTACAATTTTTTCGTTATTATAAAATTCTAATTTTAATTTTAAATTCTTATTCCTTACTTTGCGTACTTGGCAAAATAATTTCTCACAACTTTTAAAATGCAAAGTAATAAACAGAATCAATTTGTAGAATAGAGTTTAAGTTTAATTTAGTAATTTAATTGAAGTATAATAAAAACTCGAAATAAATACAAATGAAATTCTTTTTGTTAAACTTCGAACAACTAAACTCGTTAATTGGCCACCGTAACAGGACAAGCTCAGCAGTTCTATACCCGTGAGAACACAGGACCGTTCAAAGCTTGTTGTAAATAACAAGGTACCAGCCACTATACCCGCGAGAACATAGTTAAGGGATCTTGCATCGGAGTGATACTCATCGTATCATTAGTAGGGTAATCACAAGTATAAATTTTTTTACGCAAACGGGAGTTCTACTTGGTATCCAACCACCAGAGGAAACGTCCAAGGAATCTGTATAATAATCTTCGAGGAAACGTCAATCCAGGAGGAATTTTTTTACAATCCGGTGAACTTTGGATTTCTCATTTTGGTAGTGAATCAATTATTGATATAAATAAAATGCAAGTAATCGAAACGGCCTTAACAGAATTGACTGGGTCAGTAAATGCCCAGCTAGAAATGATCAAAAAATTGGAAGTAAGAATCAACCAAATGGAACAAAGTCCCAAAAGTGCAGAAGCAACAGCTCAAACTGTTCCCCAAGAAGACACTACAAGGGGCAAAAGATGAAAAAGAACTAGAGGACATTAATAAACTGCTCGATATATTGAAGGAATTTCAGACCATTTAATGGCAATCCAACAGAATTTCATTTCACTTTATTTCATTTACTTTCTTATCCTTAAATTAAATAACAATTACAAATAACATAGTATATATAAATGAATCCAAAAATTTTACAAGTATAATTAATCCAATAAGAAAATAAGTACAAGACCATTCAATTATATCTTAACATATAAGTTTTGAATGAATTTTCAATTAAAGTTTCATAAAAAATTTATAAGTTTTTAGAGATAAAAAAAGATATAAATTATTATGTAAATAATTTTCTAAAAAATACGTTCATTTTCTAAAAAAAAAACAAATTTAATTTAAACTATCATAAAATAAAGTAAGATAAAAAATCTAGCTCAAAAAACAAAAACCAGAATATAAGTATTACAAAATATAATATCAAGTCAACAGTGCTGAGAAAAAACCGTAAAAAACCGTAAAAATTTATAAAAAATTTTATAATAACATTAGATAAGCTTTCTACTTGTTGAAAGGCAAAACTAAATAACCATGGTTTAACCTCTCTTTGAAAACTCGAAAAATTTCTTTCCATCCGAACTGTTAATGGGAGCTTATTAAAAATTCTTGGGGCAAAAACACTATAAAAATGTTCAAAAATTGAAAAACGGACTCTGGGAACAGGAACAACAAAAAAATTATTAATCCTCAAATCATACATATTTACAAGTCTAAAAGTATGATAGCCCGATCTCAGAGAAAAAGTTTCGTAATTAAAGTTTTGTAAAAATATAAATGTCTCAATGGAGGAATTCCTAAATCGACAGAAAGTGGAAAGCTAGAAAATCGACAATTTTTACCATATATCATCTAAATTATACGCTTTGCAAAATCAACAACTTGTTCAGTTTTGTAATATGTGTACCACCCCAGCAAGAATAGACCGTTAAAAGTAAATCTAGGGAACAATACTACCTTAAGTGGTACACATTTCTAACCACATTCCTAAAATGTAAGTTCAGCTTACTTGTATGCACCAACACACTCATTTTAAAATCAATATTAAGCCCCAAGTATTTAAAAGACTACCAGCTCAATCAAAAAGCAGTTAGAACTACAATTAGAATCCTCAAGGTAAGACTGGGGGCCAGTGGAAACTAAAAGAAACCTAAGGCAATCCGCAGAATGATACCTGACACTCAGATCAACTGCCCGACCAAGATTAAAAAACATTAATTTTGTTTTAGGACTTATAAGCAATTTATCGATAGCAAACCACTTACGAAACAAATCCAGATCATAATTTAAGCTATAAATACACTCAAAAAGGTTTTCTTTGCTATATGAAAAGCAAGTATCGTCAGCGAAAGCGGTTGGGCTCCTCCTGAATTTTGCCTTAGCAAAGAATTAATAAAAATCACGAAAAAACTAAGGCCCAAAACGGAACCCTGCGGAGAAGCAAAATCCAGCTTAATCATGGCGCTCAATTCAGAACCCAGCCTAACACAATGCTTCCTTTCATGTAAATAAGACTTCAGCCATTCATGAAAAAAACCGCGGAAGCCAGCACTATAAAGTTTTCCTAGCAATAAATCATGGTTCATAGTGTCGAAAGCTTTAGCAATATGAATAAATAAAGCCACAATAAAAAAACCACTATTGAAACTTCCATATATTTCGGTACCGAATTTAAATATGGCATCCTCTGTACTTTTACAACTAAAAAAAACAAATTAATTGCAGCTACAAAAATTTACTTTGGTTAAATGCTTCAAAATTTTAGATTTGATACTTTTTCAAAAACCTTAGAAAAAGGTAACGGAGGAAATTGGACGATAGTTATTAGAATCAAGTGGCGACCTGTTTTTAAATAATGGAATGACGGTTGTAACTTTTAAATACTGAGGGAGGACCCCAGTAAAAATACTAAAATTGAAAATATAACTCAGAAAATCTGTAATTAAAAAAGAAATGCACTTTGAAATATTTTCAGATATTAAACCATCAATTTTAGAATTGGAATTTTTAAACTTTAAATAGTTTTATGTATTTCAAAAGAAGAAATTTCTTCAAAAAAAAAGCTATTAGAATAAGAGACATCACTTACTAAATTATTAAAGAAACTAAAGTTATAATTATTTAAAGACAAATTTTTAGAAACTGAAGAAAAATACTCACCAAATATTTAGTATCACTGTTAAAATTACCATTAATGGTCAGATAAATAGAAGGTTTAAAAAAAATGTTTGTTTAAAATTTCATTGACATCTTTTCTCAGCCTTAAGATCACCCTTATCACTCATCGATAAGATCTCAGAAATCTATTCGCAAAATAATTTTCCTTATAAATTTTTGTCCTATACATAACCCTTTTGCACAACTGTTTTTAATAAATCTTAAAACGACTATTATTAGAATGATTTTTAATTTTTATTCTAATCTTGTTTCTTTAATTCAATTCCTAATTAAATTCAGCAAAGAATCCGCCAAGGTTTTAATTTTTTATTTGCATTATAAATTCTAGAACAAGTATCAGAGAATATATTTATCAGAGAATTGGAGAAATAAAAAAAAGCAAGACAAAGATTCGCAGCAGCGTATAAATTATTTCAGCTATTTAACAGATCTAAAAAAGAAAAATTGTATTATGTTTATGAAAATAGGCGTTTTCATAAACAAAAATGTGATACGTACGCAATATATAATTTATTATATATTAATAAAATAAAAAAGCAATTTTGTTGTTTTCAACTACAACAATTAACAGAGGAATTTATATTTATATTTGTTTATATTTGTTTATTTGTAATCTCAATGAGCTGGTGAGCTCGCATAGAGTTTATAATACATATTTAGTTTTATATACAATATTTATGGTATTTATTTACAGTATTACGAAGTTAATGTTAAGGTTATAAAAATTAAATTCAAGAAAAAACAAAGAAAAAGTTAAAATTTTACTATGTACAAAAAGATGTAAGCTGCAATGCAATAATAAGATAAGAAATATAAAAATATACTATAATACAAAAAATTTATGAAATGAAAAAAATTAATAAGCAAAATAATCTTAAAAGTCAATTATAAACAATACAAAATTGAATATAAAATAAAAGTTATAAGTTGTGGTTATGCCTCTCTAAATAAATTTCTTTAATTTTCTAAATCTGGCTTTTGCCATATCTTTCAAGTGCAAAGATAAATTGTTATACAGCATTATACCTGATATC